AGGTTCCTGCTGTATTGGGCAATATCTCACATATTTGCCTTCTAAAAACATTTTAAAAGACATTTCTTCAGAGTTACGTTAGAGAGAAAGGGCAGAAAAACTCCTGCTTCCCAGATTTCATGGGTTTCACAACACTGTTTCTGATTCTCCTTCACACTTGCAACCCCTTTTGAGAAATCAGCATTTTTAACATCTCTTAAAGCAAATGTTCTCTAGGCATAGTTTAGATTACAGGAATAACATGGGAAGTCAGGAAAGGTCTTTGCCCTCAACAGGTTGTTGAGATAATTGGTAAGAAAAATAAAACCCTATCTGCTCCCACAGTCTTTTTGTTTGTATGTTTGATCTGCTTTCAAGATTTCTGGTCTTTTGAGCCACAAGCTCACTTCAATCCTATCTTTGTTCAAGCTTTTCTATCTTCGGTGTCGATTTATCCCAATCCTCAAGTGATGCTACTGTAGTCAAAATAGCAATTATTTCTGTGTTCAGTTGTTGAAAACTTTCAGCTGTTTCTTTCCAGTCTGAATTATGTTCACTTTCATGTCTAACAGGTGCAACACTGAAAACAGGGACAGATCTGCAGCAGCTCATTGCAGAGCAGAGGAACAATGCTGCTGCTCTTTCAGGCAAGTTCCATGTAGCTGCCACCAAAGAAAAAGAAATAAATTCATTTATCTGTCCTCTGAGTATATGTCACCCTTTGAAGCATTTTTGCCATAGGGAATAACAGAATCCCTAATTGAAGCAGAGAGGACTTCTTACCCTTGTGTCAGTAAATAATGCACTAGTGAAAGCAAAGAAAGCATGAAGTTCTGGTGACAAAAATCCTTCTTGTGTGCAGCTCTCCACCTTTCTGGAGGGCACATGTGCCAGGGTGAGGCTTAAGGCAACGCTTCAGCAGAAACCTCAGACAAAACCAAAACTTGCTGAACTGTTCCCCTGAGAATTCATAATCAAGTAAATAAAAGACAAAACCTAACAAGCTGAAAATGACTTACAAAACATTTCACAGAACTTTAAAACAAGAGTCAGACACAGACTCCAGATTTCCTGAGATCAGTTGTCTCCTTTTCTCCTCCAGAAAATCTCTCCTCCCCTACTTTTCTCTCAGATGTGCTGGAGGATTCATCTCAAGGTTAAGCAGTTCACAATGTAGGACAATGACTCGATGCATTGAAGTCACCAAATGAGCAGCAAGGTAATGAAGCATAATAATTACTCTGCATTCACAGTAATAATTACTAAAGGTATTATAACCACAAATACAGACACAAAAATACACACAAATCTCAGCTTAAACTTTTTTTTTAATATATGAAGAACAGAGATTCAAGACTCACAAGGATATCAACCCTTTACATGAGTTGCAAATGAAATGAAAACACGACTTCGGAACACTTTTTAAAATTCACCAGTAAGGCAAAAGAAAAGCATAAATAGTTCTGCCAAGCCAGTGACTTCAAAAGACATAGTACAGAAAGCTTTTAATTTTGGCCTCCATTAACGTGACACGTTAATTATCCTATGAATGGTATCTTGAAAATTGTAAAGATTCAAGCCCTGCTGGCAGGAGACAGATAAACCTCAGACCAGCAGAGGTCAGGATACCATCAGGAGTACAACCAGGAGGCTAACACAGGAGCACCACTAGATGACTATAAAAAGACACTAGATTTGCAATTAGCATTAACCCAATAAATACGGTTTCTATGCTGCCACTTTGAGACAGCATGAATGCAATATGGGACAGAGAACCAAGGCAATCTTTCCCCCAATAATTTAAGGCTAACTACAAAGCCACAGTGAATCAGAGCTTCAAAACACATCTACCAGAGTAGCTGCAAGCTGCCTAATATTTATGCTCAGAGACTCAGCCCCCTGCTGTGTCCTTCTGATGGAAATGGAATTATACACACACTCTGTGCTATTAAATGTAATGAAACATGGCAGCAAAACACAACTCTCTCAGGCTGCATGTACCAAAACACGTGAGCTAAGGCAAGCCAAAAGGGACTCAAGTTTCATTCCCTTACAGGAAGCATCTCTGACCAGCTTCAACATACACCTGAAGCTCAAAATAATTTCCAGAAGCACAGCTGCTCTTTAACATTTGAGGAGCTGAGCTGCCTTGGAACAAGTCATTCCATTGCTTTTCCATGCACTCTACTGATCTGTTCAGCCAAGAGGGCTAACTTAAAAATACAGCTTTAAATATTTTGAGTTTTCTGGTGATAGAGAAAACTCTTACAGACAAGCAAGAAGGATGTGATCTAGTCTTGGAGATAACAACAGGCCTGACAGACCAAGGGGAAATAGCCATAGTAACTAGGCCCAGACAAGTAGAAATTTAGTTCACTCATCATTTTTATTGCTTTCCATGTTCCCAACACATCAATTACCAAAACTCATCCTCAAGTACTCTCCAGCAGCAAAAGGATTCTTGAAATAGGACCAGTACCAGCTGCTCACAGGACTTGCATGTCCAGAAACACCCAGCTCAGCAACTCAACATTAGGAGGGAGGTCACCACGTTTCAGTGGCAGCCTGGATATCTGTCACCACTTATCAAACCAGCAAAGCACCCTGTGCTCCTCAGGGGACAGCAATGTGCACCTTGGCATCAAGCCACCACCTCCCCTGGACATCCACCCGGCACAGCTTACGACAGCTGGTGACACAGGACAATAGCTCTCACTCTCTCAGGGCAGAGCTGGGTGTGAGCACTTCAGTATCATTTCCTTTACTGGGTCATATAATGGGTGAGGAAAACTCCTGTCTCGCTGACACGAGTAAATCTAAGATCTGTGGGCAAGTTCATGTGGCCTCAAGGATGGCAGTTCTTGTGGGACTTGAACATGGTTCTTCGGGAATGCAAATTGCTAAAATGTTTCATCAATTCATTTCACAATGATTTATATTTTTAGAAATTGCAAAGCTCTAAATGTTTACTTCCTAGTAAAAAAACCTGGAAGACAGTGGGCTTACCTTTTCTATCACTGCATCATGGACAGGAAGCTCCTCTGGACTAAAAACAAAGACAAAATTGTATTAGTCTTGGTTAATCTTGGCACAAAATCATTTCTGTATAGGCTAGTTCTTCATTTACAGCAGCAAGTGAACAAGAATTCTGAACTGTAAAGAACAAAGATAATGGCACACAGGAACACTTGGAATTTATTTTTCCAGCACAGTAAAACTGGTAATATTTTAACTACAAAACTAAGATTCTGAATCAAAGTAGTGGCATAGACTAAGAGAGGTCAAGAACTTATTTTTTCTTCTCTAAAAGCCACCTGTGCTGTACTACTGAACTGAAAACCAAGTGTTTTTTTATTTTCTTATTTGACCATTCTACTGTTAGGTAAAATACCAATACAAGGAAAGATTTTCTTCCTTTATTTATGTGCTCTAGGAAAAGCACTGAGACTTTGTTTGACTTAGAATAGTTACATTTCATGTTCTCAAAACTACAAAACTCAAAGTAACAAGCAGAAAGTAGCAGGGAAAAAAAAAAAAAGAAGAGAAATCAGATTTGTTAATAGGTATCTAATTAACACTAAAATTTATGGTCTTTTCACTTCCTAGCCTAACCCCAAAAGGCAGGTTAGGAACTGAAAGCTTGAAAAGCAACCTTTGAATACACACATCTTCTGACTTTGTATTACTCTAGTTTCATTCTGAGGGCTTTAACTTCTGTTTTTCATATCAAAGGAACCTGTGTTTTTTCCTATCAAAAGTAACTGGACCACTCAGATGCCAAACACACTTGCCTTGCCCTGCCCTCATCAGCTGCAGCTTCTGAGCACACAGCAGCTCATCTGCAAGTAGCAAGACCCATTCTTGTGTTCCAGAGGTCAAATAAACATCAAACCCAACAAAACCCTGTTTAGAAAGGACTAAAAGGCAGGAAACATATGAAATCCTTTTGAAAATTCTTAGTGAGTCTTGATATTATGGAAAAACCTGACACCCACATCACTATCGTTTCCTATGTGAGGCCATTAAACCCTAGTGTTTTAGACCTGAGCAAACCTCTGCAAGGGCAACAAGAAGAGTTGGGAAAGCTACAGAAGGAGCTGCTGTCAATCAGTGTAAGAAGAGTGTGATGCAAAATGCTTGAATTGTCTTCAGTCTCATTTATTTCATTTCAAAGATGCTGTTTCAGATTCAGAAGTTATACCTGAATAAAGAACTACATTTCAATTACTTCATCTAATGGAAAGGCTTGTTCCAATCAACACCTTTTCAGAGACCACACACACAAGTCAAAGTTTCCAGTACACAGCCCAGGGACAAATTTTAAAACCGAAAGACTGTTCCTTTTGAGCAGCATTGCAAAAAGCATAATCTGTTCATTTAGAAGCATTTTCCAAGTATCTGAAAATTTACTCAGCGAACAACATCAAAATCAAAAAAAGTCTTGATTAACATCTAAAACTGCCTATTTTCAGTGCTACCTGGGGCTGCAAATGTTAGAAATTTATAGTATTGTGCACATTCTCATACACCTAAATCAAATACTGAAAGCCCTTTACATGTCAAATACCAGCTAGAAATTCAGCTTATCTCAAGTGGGAAAAAAAAGCAAAGGGGAAGAAAAAATTCAATTTAGTACAATCTGCTTGGGGTGGCTGTCGTTTGGTTTGAAGTATAAAGATTGCTAAGCTTTTCCACATCACTTCAAACTCCAATTCTTTAGAGCCAGTTACATGCCCTGCCTACCCTCCACCAGCCTCTCACAGCAGCCTCATTCTTCACAGCCCCACGAGGTCACACCAGCAGCTGCCCAAGCACACAACAAACTCTTTCTCCTCCAGAGCCACCACATGTGTGCAAGACACCGATCCAACAGCTGCATGTCCCTGCAGAGTCCCACTGGACACTGCAGCTCCTCTGCTTCACTGGTACCACTTGACAGCTCATCTTCACATTGGCTGATCCACCATGGAAACTGAGCACACAAAAGATTAATCAAATCTTACTTTATCACAAAGCAAGAATGAACTGCAATGATTTATTAAGGAATTGCTCTTTGCTAATTTTGCAGGTTACCAGTAACGTGCACAAATCCAGCATGGCTGAATCACAGAATCAAGAGGGTTGGAAAAGACCTCCAAGATCATTGAGTCCAACCCTATCATGGTCACTAGACCATGGCACTAAGTGCCACATCCAGTCTCAGCTTGAAAACCTCCAGGGATGGTGAATCCATCACCTCCCTGGGCAGCCCATTCCAATGCCTGAGCACTCTCTCCATAAAAAAATCTCTTCCTAATATCCAACCTAAACCTTCCCTGGCAGAGCTTGAGTCTGTGCCCTCTTGTCCTGCTGCTGGTTGCCTGGGAGAAGAGACCAACCCCCACCTGACTCCAACCTCCTGTCAGGGAGGTGCAGAGGGTGATAAGGTCTCCCCTGAGCCTCCTCTTCTCCAGGCTGAACACCCCCAGCTCCCTCAGCCTCTCCTCTGAGAGTAGCTGAAGCTACTGAGCAGGAAAATGTGGCTCTTATGTCCTGGGAAGCAGACACTGCACTCCCTCATTAAATTAACCCAACAGCAAATTTGTGCCCACATTCCTTGTTATTTCCGTCGCTGCACAGCTATGCACTAATACCACATACCCCAGCTGAAATTCCACAGGAGCACGTTAAGCCAGCCCCGTGTTTTCATTCCCAAGACACTGAGCACCAGGCACACAGAGCAGGAGCTGAGGGAATCGCCCCAGGCTGCACAGGAACTCACTGGACTGGAACACACGAGTTCCTGGAGATCTTCCCCTCAGCTAACTAGCTACACCCATGTACTCACTTGCATAAATATTCAACTCTATCCTGCGAGGACTGAGGCAAAGGCACAGTGGGCAAACCAACTCTCTCAAGGCCTTAAAGGTATTTTAAATAAATACATTTCCATTTAGTGTATGTGTTTTCTGTGCAGAAGAACATTAGACACTTTTTTTAAAACATTGGCTGGGATCAGAGACAAAAGCAATTCAGGTCTATTAATCAACATTATTTTATTGTACCTTCTACTTTTTTTTATAATGATGAATCTTTCCCTTCCCTCCCCAGCCCAGCCAATCTGATACTGTTATACCTTCATCACTTCTTTTAATGTTGAATCTTCTCCCAGTGTCCCCAGTCTATTTAAACTTGCATTTTTCCCTGGTTTTATCTGCGTACTTCACCAAATAGTAATGTGAAGCAGTCAACAATATTAACATAATAGAGCCATATCCTGCCCTAGGATGGCTGCTTGCCTTTAATAGCTCAAGTAATATTCATTTAGGGGATACAGAGAGAACAGAACTGATTAACGTAATTAGCTTGGAACCACACAATCCTTGATATCCCAAGGAGGAGTCACAGAGATGCTTATAACTGAGCTCATGAAAACAAGGTCTCGCTTAGCAGAAACAGAATGTTAACACTGTACTGCCCACAATAAAGAAACCTGCTCAATCCGCATCAACCCACTGGTCTGGGTCTGTGGTCCAGCACGGGGCCAAGAGCCTCCCCCAGCTGCAGGCTGGGCAGGCCCCAGTGGATGCTCACAGCACTCAGGGCTCTGGCTGGCACTGCCAAGCAGCTCTGGAATCACACCACCAGAGAAAGGTGTGAAGATGCTATCTACAAGTTTGAGAGCCTCAGAACAGTGGGACCAAATTCCACCTCCAATAAGGAGTAAAGCAGATGTTGGGCTTCCTCCTAGAGGCTCCTCAAAAACATCTCACAGGTTTGACTGGGACTCAGGACCTCTACCCATGCCCCTCACTGCCTGTGATCTATCTGCAGGACTGCCCCAAAGTCACCTTCCTGACTTCCAATCTGGACTATTTCCACCTTCTGGTGAGGATTTTAAGGTCTCTAAGTTCAAAGCAACAGGACTTCAGTTTGAATGACAAGGAAGTGATTGAAAACACCTCTTTTTTTATGACATGATAAGGCTGAATGGATTTCACATCTTTGAACCCACCACGATAGCTAACACAGGTTTTCATGAATATTTCAAGATAACTTAAAAGAAATATTAATCTTCAATGCATAAATATCTGACACCTCAGAACACCAAATATGCAGATCTGTGGTTCTAACCATTAAGCTATGTGTTGCAATTAGCCTCCTCGAGTAACAGTGGTGGCTTAAAGAAATTGAAAAGCCTGAGAATTAACAAGCTTAGAGTCACCTACCCAGTGCTGCTGCTTGAATCAGTTCTCTTTAGACAGCACTTTGAAATACTTGTTCAATACAAACACAAGGAAAGACTTTCTTGTATTTGTCACTCGTCAAGATTTATTCTTTTCTCACATCTGTATTTAAATCCCAAATATCTTCCCTGCTGGCTCAAATCACAGCACTAGTTTGGCTTAAACAAATTTAAGGAATGTAAAACCTCCTCTATCCTTTGCAGCTTCAGCTGAGGATGGAAGATGCAATACTCAGCAGTCTTGATTCACTGATAACCCCAGAACTGCAAATTCCAGAGGAGCAATTCAATTCTTCACAGTTACAAGTTGTAAGAATCCTAACAGTCAAATTTCATCTGCAAAAAATAAAGTGGCAAAAATTGACCGTAATAAGACTAAAAATCTTTACCACAAATCTTACTTGCCCAGAGAACTGCTGCAGTCAAAATTCCTAGCTAAACTGTATTTTTGCTTCTCATCATTTCTATTTCAAACAGCCCTTGCTTAAAAACCCTCTCTGCTTGCTCTGGTCTTTCTTACCCCAGAGAGAATGAGTCACTGCACTGTGAGGAACTTTGGGGCTCTTTATCCTGAACTGCTTGCAGGAACAACTGTGATACATGCAAGTCATTACTTCGTTAAAAAGTCAATTACATCCACTATTCTGTATTACTGAACTCAGCATAACACAACCATTAAAAACTGGAACACCCACAAAGCCTGTGGTGCAGTGCCTATGCTAAATAGTTCTTCAAACTCCTCCTCAATTATTTTCTCATGCTCTCCTCAAAGTACTACTAAGTGCAATAGCATCACCTGGTATCACGTTTTAGCTGAAAAG